GGCCCGCACACCGGCGGCCGCGAACAGCGCTAATTCCCCCCCACTTCAATCCTGTAGCAACGAGCACGACGCCAAAGCAGAAACACCATGGCCACAATCATCAATATATCATTATACCACCTAAGATCTCGTTAAGCACATACTCTGGCTCACAGTACGAGCATCTGACAATTAAGAGTCTCACTGCTGCAACTAAACTGCTGCAACCTCACTGCCGCAACCGAACTGCTGTAATCAAAATGGCGCAACCAGCGTACTGCGACCCAACGACAGTCCTTAGGGACCAAGCCGACTGGACTGGCTGGCTCGCGCAGCTACAGGCGAGATGCCTGTTGCGCAACATCTGGGACAAGATCAACCCAAAGACAACTACACCACTACTATTAAAGCCACTCTCGCTAAGGGCTCTAACCATTACTAACTACGCGCCAGCTACAAACACTGACATACTATTAAGGCTAACTAAGCTATTAACAACAGGCTAGAAGGCATTTAAGGAAGACCTTAAGTATTACAAAGTACTCCTTAAACAATATAAGAATAATTAACACAAATATAAGAAGGAGGAAGCAAGCCTTTAGCACATTATTGTGTTTATCTAGTTAACTGTGTCGCCACATCTACTGCGCACATGCTGTCTTCCTAAGAAACTACTGCGACAGTGGATTACAGACCTACAACTTACTGTTAGGGTTGACGAATGAATTGAACAAGAACAAGCCTAAGACAGATACCTCTTAGCACTCAAGCCAATAAGAAGCACGTCACAATGGGATACCTAGCTAGCCAAGTATGACTAGGCAGCTACAGAAGCGGAGATGTACAAAGTCGCCAAATTATCGCAATTAAATGTGATAACAAAGGACTTCCTGACAGCTGTGAACAGGGTCGCGCCTATGTAGGCTACAAGCTTTTAAGATAGCAGACGCTTTAAATCTAGTATAAGTTAGAAGGAGATAATAAAACGCTACTAAGAGCACATGATAATAAATTATCCCCTTAGATTAGGGTGGCACAAGGCCTTTGTGGCTGACAATGCAGTGTTTCTTGCTAAAGGGGGTGCAGCCTCCTAGAGCCATAAAGGGGACGCCCAACATGCTGTAAGCGCGCCATCTAACTAGGGCAGACCTTAATATCAACGTACAGTGGGTAGGAAAACCACCACGCTCAAGCGGCCTTCAGATCAAGAGCCTGCTTCTACTAGGGGAGCAAAATGCCCTGCATGTAGACAACGCCACTCTATACAGGATTGCTACTATGTTAATCAAGACAGAGCTCCTAAGTGGTGGAAACTAAATAAGATTATTTCTAAACTTATTAAGTTTAAGTGTAAGAAAGATGTTACCTTTTAAGGGCTACTTTGCGCACAAAGCAAGAGTAGATTAAGAACACTAGTAGTAAAGCACTTGCACACCCCTACCCTAGAAATCCTAGACAATTAACTAGAAGGCTGAGAAATTGCTAATGTTAAAGCAGCGCTTAGCGCAGCAAACTAACAGGACGCTGCTAACTATCCACTGCAGAAGTTGTTTATACTTGACTTAGGTTCTACCTGTTATATCACTAACAACCCCAACCACGTCTATGGGTTCTAACAGCTATCACCCAGAGACTTCATATAGGCTGGGAATTCTAAGGTGCTAGTTAGAGGATATAGATTAATTAATCTACTCCTAAGGAGTAGAGCCAGGACAACTAAGGTCACCCTCACAGACGTGGCAATTTGCCTAGACCTGCTATGCAACCTAGTGTCCTTCCGCCTACTACAAAACAGAGGTATATAGTAGGACACACAAGCAGACCTAACAACTCTCTAACAAGCAAATAGCTAAGTAATTAGAGTAGTATTAGAAATGCTTAGCTAGTAGGTGCTTAAGTACAAACTATCCCTACTAGCTGCTAACCACACACACAAAATTACTACACACACTAAGAGAGGACTACAGAAGGCCTCAGCAATACAGTGGCACAAGCGACTTGGTCACCCTAGTCCTGCTGCAATTAAACACATTGTCCAGCAGACTTAGGGGGTGCGGATCCAAGGCATCACTACAGTTAAATGCAACGCTTGTAGAATAGCTAAATTGCGACGGCAAATTAGCTGCGCACTAAGAATTAACAATAACAGACCTAGAGAAAGACTTAGTGTTAACTTCCACTCCTACAAAGTACAAGGAGTTACTAAAGAAAAGAGCTAGATGCTTATTACTAACAGGTTCTCAGGCCTATAGTGGGACCTCTACTTCACAGATTATCGCACAGCGAAGTTAATTATTAAGGCACTGTTAACGTTTATCCTGTTCTTAAAAAATCACTACAACATCTTAGTTAAGACTATTAAGGCAGACAACAAGATAGCCACAGTCAAACTAGGCGTATTAAAATGGCTAGCAACACAAGGAATTATTGTGGAGCCTTTAGCGCCAGACACACAAGCACAGAACAGTAACGCAGAACGCTCAGGGGGTGTGAACAAGGAGAAAGCTCACGCAATGCAACTTGATGCTAACCTCTCCTGGGAACTGTGGCCAGAAATCACGAGGGCAGCAGTATACCTCTACAATCAAACGCCAAACTACGCAAACTATTAGAAAACACTATACAAAATATTCTTTACGTAAGTTGCCTTTAGCAACAGAATAGTAACATTACTGCAAAAACCTAACCTTGCGCACCTAAGAGCATACAGGTGCAAAGCATTTACTATAACAGACAACACACATAGAGGCAAATCACGTCTTTAACAACTAGACCTAAAGGCCTAGATTAGCTATCTAGTAGGCTACTAGTTGTTAAATATCTATTAAATCTAGATACTGTTACTTAGCAAGGTAATAAGCACTTAAGATGTTGTGTTTAACAAAGACACAGTATTTAATAGGAGAATTAAGGACCTTATAGAGAACCTTATACACAACACACTTAAAGAAATAGCAACACATATGCAATCTATTAAGCTACCAACGCCTACCTAGCAACTAGAAACAGATTCCTTTTATAAGGATAAAGCCCTAGCAGAGCTGTTACCACAAGACAAAGCAGACCCGCCAGGCTACTATCACAGACGGAAGATACAGGATAGCTATCCTACCCCTCCATCAACACCGCCACCTGCAGCACTACTTGCAGGCATTATGGCCAGTGATCAAACAACTCTGACGCAACAAGCGTCCTCAACTACTGTCCTATAGGCAGCATCATTCCTTGCAGGAACCTAAGCTAGACGTGTTAGAATATACAGAGGAGAAGTCATAGACAAGGCTAAGATAATAAGAATGCTCGCTAAAGGCTTAAAGCCCTATTAAAGTTAACTTCTACCTCTACCCACGTTCTAAACTAAGCTTAAGGATCACCCTATAGGTAAACTCTTTCAAGAAGCCAAGTAAGAGCACCTTGCAAGCTACTAAGAAATAAAATTATAGTTAGAAGTACTACTTTAGAAAATTAGACTAACAGGACAATAGATCCTTAACTGCATGTAGGTATATACCTATAAGCTTAATAGACATTATTAACTGCTAAAGTGCAAGGCGCAACTAGTAGTCAGAGGCGATTAACAACGCAATATTACATCACAAGACACCTACGCAGCCACGCTTGCCAGCCAATCCTTTCGAACGATGATGGCTATGGCAGCTTACTATAACATGGAGCTCAAACAATACAACGTTACCAACGCGTTTGTTCATGCTACAATGGACAGAGAGGTCTACATGAGAATGCCACAAGGCTATTAGAAGCCTGGCACAATACTGCAAGTAAACAAGGCACTTTACAGGCTGCGCATCTCTCCCCTCCTCTGGCAGAAGAACTTCACTGCAACACTAAAAGCACTAGGTTTCTAGACTGTGCCTCACGAACCCTGCTGTCTAACTAAGGGCAGCATTATTATCTTCTTTTATGTTAACAATATTATCCTTGCGTACAATAAATTAAAAGAGCAAGAGGCAATGCAGACAATTAGCCACGTACAGAGCAAGTACACCTGCACAGGAGGGCACGACCTACAGTGGTTCCTCAGCATAGAGATTATACGAGACTGAGCAAGCAAGAAAATCTACCTATCTTAGGCAGCGTACTTAGACAAAATCAGTCGCCTTGCTGAGAACACAACTATACAACATGACACTCCAATGGCAACAACTGAACTACAGCCAAGGAGTGGACTAGCAGCGCCAGCAGAAATCAACAAGTATCAACGCAAAATTGGATCACTGCTGTTCGCTGCGGTCACCACGCGACCTGACATTGCGTTCGCCACATCAAGGCTTGCCAGGTTCCTCACCAATCCAGGCATCAGCCACTAAGATGCTGCGGACTGGGTCCTTCTATATCTACTCAACACTAAACAGCGATCACTGCAGCTTAGAGGAGGCATTAGCCTCCAGGTAGCAAGTGACGCGTCCTTCGCTAACAACACTATGGATAGAAAGAGCTCCCAAGGCTACGCAATCAAACTCTTTGGCGGCCTCATTGCATAGAAAGCAAACAAGCAGGACACAGTAACAACATTAACAACTAAGGCTGAGCTTCTCGCTCTCACCCAGGTTGCAAAAGAAGCACTTTTTATCTCAAGGCTCTTGCGCAAACTACACGTTAATATAGGCGCACACACCATCACAATACAATGCAACAACAAACAAACAATTCAACTAGTCACTAAGGAAGTGTTGCGACTACATACCAAACTTTAGCATGTGGATATCCACAACCACTGGCTCTAACAGGAGGTGGCCGCTGGAAAGATCATTATGGAACACGTCCAGTCTGCGAGCATGATAGCAGACAGACTCACAAAGGTACTCCTAGTGAACAAGTGGGAAGGTTTCCTCCAGCAACTTAGTCTGGTGAACAGGGAGTTAACAGAAGTGCTAAACAGCGTGCCTCTAGACAGGATTTAAGAACAAATTAAGGACCTTGCACACGCATAAACAGTTAGCTTAAAGAGTTTCTAAGCTGAAGGGGGTGTGTTAGATAAGAGCGAGCGGCGAGAGGTCAGATCTGCGCAATTGAGCAGGGACCTGTCGTGCAGCCAATCAGCAGTTGCCAGGTCGATTAAGC